ATTTTTCTATCTGAATGAACCATCCTTGATTAAAAGCATTCCCATCTAAATATTCTTTAACTCCTAATCGACTCTTTTGACCTATTTTCCTCTTCCTTTTCTGCAATCTCTTATCCAGTCTAACTAGTTAAAAAATTTCTCTTTATATAATTCTAAAATTCCTAGAATCTTGACATTCTAATTTCTATCTGTCTGTTACTTATGCTGTATGAAAAACAGTATTTTTTAAGTATTTCATGGAACTACCCCTTTCTTTTCTTCATCGCCCCCCTTCTTCCTCACTTCGGTAGGCTTCCTCTCTCTCCACTTATCAAAGATGGCTCGGCACCTAGCTGTAACACGCGAGGTTTTGCAGTTTTCATATTTTCTCACCATGTTGTTAACAATCATGATGATCACATTCTTGCAGTAGTACTTTCAATGAGTATTTATTTTATATTTTTGTTTGTTTTTATTTCCACTATCTATTCTTCCCGGGCTACTTTTTTCTCCTCTCCTCCTTGCTAGAGACCCACTGAGGATGGGAAAAGTGTTTTACCGAAAGTTGTCTGGATAATAATTAATAATAATTATTAAACCTTTTGTGGAGATTATTTCCTCTACCATATGATTCACATTTTCATTCTAACTCTAAAATCTGCATTAGCACTAAAAGTGTAAGGAGAGCCAGCACTGAGAAGGATATATATCATGTTCGGAGAGCTGCGCTAAAAGGAGGTCGGAGGCCATATTCAAAAATAGGATGGGATTCCTCATGAACAAACAAAGCCTGTCGGAATCAGTGAAAAAATTCAAAATGTTTACTGGTATCATCTCTCTTTCATTTTAATTTTTAATACAGCCTCTGCTTTCACAAAAATACAAAATACGATTCTTCGTGTTGTCCAGGCTTGTAGGTATACAAGCTTGCTTGCTTGCATAACAAGTATAAGAAGCTTGATCGTGATCGGTGCCAGGAGGGAAAAAAAGAAAATGAGTAAAAAGAGAGGAAAAGACAAAAATAAGGTAAAATGGCGAAAGTAGTAATCAGAAGCTAAAATAGGAAAAAAGGAAATAAAAAATATACTAAAACAACTCCAGAAGAGCAATTAAGTCATTCCTATTGTTAAACGTTATAAAATAGTAACAATAATAAAAAAGCATTTGACAAAATTTCCGGATTATAATTATCATCATATCTGTTTACAATGCGAACCGTAGAAGTCGCGCCGAGCCAGTTCCCTGGCAGGAAGGAAAGGAAAAACGTAAGTAAAAAGCGTCCTGGAACATCTGCTCGATCTGTCTGCCAAGTTTTAATTTTCAGTAAGAAATTCTGAGTATGCATCGCGGAAATACGACAAAAAGAGATTGTACGAGTAACATGTTTCGAGCTTCCTAATGGGCATAGTTTACTTCCGCCGCGTAAAGCACTTTTTTTTCTTTTACTTTTTTTCCAACAGCATCAGCAGACTACTTTGTCCGAGAGCGAAACAGTGCATTGCGATTTGCAACAGCGTATGTGTTACTAATACATTATACTTTCTTTTTCAAAACCTTTAAATAATTGTGCATGTTTTAGTACGCTACCACAAAAAATGTAAAATCAGCATATATATAACAATAAAAAAACAAATGCTGGAAAACTATCAACTATGATGTAGATAAAAAAATAGTATACGTAGAGTTAAGGTATTTGGGCAAAAAATAATGTTCGGAGCGCCGTTAGAGTAAGGATCTGAGCCAGCATTGAAAACAAAGAAAAGACCGCGTAGGCATCGACGCAGATGCAAATGCATTGTCGCCTTTGGAAACGCAGATGGCGTGCCGGGTAAAGAAGTAGAATGTAGCGCTTGTCGAGAAGAAATAGCATTGAAAATATAAAACGTGACTATATTTGAGGTATCCACACGCATGTCGGAGGGCTGAAAACACGTTTTGGATGCCAACTCAGCTACATGTTTGCATTTGTTACTTACTTCCAAAACGTAATTTTATGTTACCAATAACGATTATACGAGGGTGAAAGAGGGAAGGGATTAATTTGTGGTTATACCAAACACATTTCCTGAATGTAAGAGTAATTAAACTTGAAAACTAATATTCTCAAATAACCCCTCCCCCAAAAAACGAATAACTCCCAAATACCCACTTGATATTTAAAAACCGTGGGGTTCTGCCAATCCTGTTAGGCAAACTTTTAGTCGTTAACCAATGTATCAACAACCCACAAAACGAGGATTCTAACTGCACAAAGTGTTAGAGAAAGTAATTTACTACCTATAAGATAAGATGTATTTAACTGCAACTGAGTACAACTCGGTGGCAGTAGATAGAAGGGCCCCAATATATGAGATTTCTGTCTCAGCATCGTACTTTCTCAATACACTGCCACTACACTGAACTTTCTCTGCAGTACGTACGAAGTATAAAGAAGTAAAAGCGGGGAACGATCCAACCAGGGGCGTCAGAGAAAACAAGAGCCCTTAGCCAGTAGATCCTCGGGACACCTTATTTCAAACTATACTCCAATTTAAACTGTAGCACTTCCACGTCACGAGTGGCAAGGATTCGGGGACATTCTCATCCAATCGGGAGCTCCGATACCAAACTTTTAAATCGTAAAAGCGGCTCCACACAGGCAGCATTCCGCGAATTCCTAGCAACCGCTCGCCGAATCCCGAGTAGTGTAGACGGGTTGCTTGTGATACGCCGAACAATCGATATTCACCCTATCCAATGCGTGTCGGTCTTTAGGACACATCTAAAAGAGCGAACATTCTCCGAACACATCAGCTGTTCGGGATTTGGCGAGCAGTAGCTCGCTGCTCGTGTAAATCCGAATGTGTGGAGCCTCCTTGACAATGCTCCCGATTAGATGACAGTGTCCCCCTTTCCGTGGAGCGCATGTCCTCGAAGGGCCACTATGTTTAAATCTAAGTATCATGTTCCGCTCCTCAGAACAGAACACATACATACTCATTTCTCCATGCAACAGAAATGACTTTCAGCGATTAATTTAAATTAGAAATGCACACACGTTATGTTTTGACAGAAAAACAAACAAACAAAAAAGGGGGGAAACGGACCCCGGTAACGATGGGGGAAGTCTACGCCAGGGGGCAATTGTTCCAATTGTACGTTCCCTCCCCTTTCTGGGTGCCCCTAGATGCAAACAAATCATTCACCTCTCAGGGGGCCAAGTTGAAAACTTCGTATACCGACATTGATACATCCCAGATGTTCTTTCAGAAACGCAAGGTAAGGAAGGTCTGTTCGTAATTCCACGAACTAAACGGTAGGTCTCTTTCGTATGCATATTATGTACAGTAAAGAAAATTAGGACATAATTTTTTCTCATTTTTGTAGGTTTGGAATTAATATTATTGTGCACGGTTTATTTTCCATCAAAGTTATAAAATCATTAATTTTCTGTCATAACTTGCTTTAAAGACAAATGTTCTGCTAATTTTAGTAACAAAGGCAGTTAAATGTTTTGGTCCTTTGCTCTTAGAATTTCGAATTTCTATTACCCTATTCCCAATTATTTTTGAATCGTTAGTACTTTTTATGTCACTAAAACTATCGTTTTAATACCTAAACATCCTATGTCTACGCATCAGATCACTTTAAAAACGCAGTTTTTTTTATTGAATGGCTAATTAGTATTTTCATGGAAATGGTGAGTAGTCTAACGTAAAACCTATTTTGAACTTTCATCAGGAAATAGTACAAAACATGAAGGATGTCGTAATTCCTCCATCGTGATAAAAATCTCGTTCATAAAAAATGTGCATAAAATTTCAGAAAAAAGGTTATTAAAAAAATAATTTATTTTATTAACTACATACTTTCTGCTCAAGCACACGCATATTGGTTTTCTTGAAGAGAGAATAAAAAGAAAAGAGCCAGCACTTTAACCTAGCTTGACATAATACGTATTCATACTTTAAAATATTTTCTAATATATCTAGTGAATAAAAATTGCATTGAATCATAATTTGAATTTCATTGTATTAAAATAGTTCTATTATTTCTCTAATTTAATAATTTTATGAAAAAGGTCCTCTCAAGCTCCAATAACAGGCAGTCAGATCAAAAGGAAGAGTACGCATTATATTAAAATTGGTTCACCCACATGGGACATCAGTGACCAATTCTTTAATCAATAATATCAACCAAATCATATGGAGAAGCGTAGTTGATGCGTGAAATGGTATTCGCATCCATTTTGCGATAGTTGTGTTCGGGTTTATGCTGTCTGTTGCGTCAATCCATCAATGGTAGAATGTTCACATAAAACAATATATTTCTGTTGCTAGTATTCAAGCAAATAGTTTTAAGCTTTTTTGGGGGAGGGATACTTTTTTTCATGGACATTCCTAATATTAAATATTATAGCTAGTTGAAGTTCATCAGCTGACGTTGCAACTCTTCTAAACAGGCAGAAGAATTTAGGTAGGAATTAACACGCGCAAGTTTTCTTCAGCACCGGAATCCTTACTCCTTTACCAACATTATTTGAATTAATAATACAAGATAGCAACAAGCTTTGTTGAGAAAATCTGTTAATCAGAAATTTTCTCTACTGCGTAAAGCGGAACAATTTTGTATCGAAAAATAAGCTGTTTGGAATATTTGGTGTATTTCTACTGCCAAAATAACGAAATCCCCCACTCCTCTCACTTCTAGCTAAAATGACGGTTCAAGAAAACGTACGTCTATATTTCGGGCATCGAAGCGTTTTTGGCCATGCCCAAGAGTTCTAGAACCAGACAAAAAATTCAAATCGCAAGCGTGAACCAACTATACGCCCCTGTCTGTGCTGTTGTTTTCTTTTTAGTCTATATGGTGCATGCTGACGTAATCGGGGCTTCCCCGACTTTTCCTGTTTCATTCGCAGAAAAACTACAGCTTCGTATCATTACTGACACATTCCTTGTCATTACGGAAAATATCGTAAGAGAAGAAATATAATATTTACAATATAAAGATGCTTAGGATATTCACAAGAAAATGCTTACCTCTCGTACGAGTAGAGCGGTCTAAGCGAATGTGCAGACGTCCAGTCACCATTTCTCCACCGAAATACGTACACTGCGGGTTGTCGAAATTAATTTGAAATGACTGCATCACAGACATTAAATATGCCCCGCGCTATTTAGAATTCCTGGTACTGATAGAGAAGTTTTAAATTGCCCAGTAGACTTATTCACGGCGACGCTTATTCACAGCGACAGGAGAGGAATACAACACTCAACTCGAGCGCTGCTTGCAGCTGCGTGCGTGCATGCACTCCTTGCACTCGCGCTCTGTCCCTCCGCTCTGCCAGCGTTCTCCTCGCCATCAGTACCTTCCGGCAGCATGAGAGGGAACGGCCGAGGCCTTCAGGAAGGCGCGTCTTTCGAACGTGGCGTGAACAAAAACATTATATTTTCCCTCTAACTTCGAATACAAACTGAAGTAATACTACGTGATGAAGTGTGTATAAATGTATATTTATTATTATAAATATGATTAAGAATGCCAAATGTCTTATTTTAGTTGAAATCTCTAAATTTTCAAAAAGTATTAATTTCTTTTTTTTTTTGTTTTTTCAGCGTCCTACAATTTCTACAGTAAAATATATTTTCTGGATGTAATCTATTTTGCCATTTCTTGAAATGAGGTCATATGAAAGTTTTCGAAAATTCGAGTTGATTTCGCGTAATTGTGCGTGAAATTACGCAATTTTTACATATTAAAGTGTATGTTAAAAAATGTACAACTCTCTAACTCCTATCTAGCTATTGAGTAGACAAATTTTCAACATAACAGAATCTTCAGCATGAATAATCTGAAAATATAGTATATAACAAGCTGTGTGCGTGCTGATTCTCGGGTTTGTTTTTCGTGTTTGTTTTCCGTGTGCGAAACAGCTAATTTTTTCACTGTATGTGAAACGTGGCGAAGCGTGTGCAAAACATCGCCAATCGTGTGCGAAACCTCTGTAACGGTTTGCAATTTACTTTTGTCTTGGCGACGTCTTTGTTTATTATTTGCAAACAAGAGTGTTACGGCACTGACTGGAATCCATTTACTTTTGTACAAGTAAAGTAGTTCAAGTTATTGGATATTTAATTTATATTCCTTTACTAGACACACTGCGTTTTGCTCACGATGTGTTAAAATGTGATTTTTTGAATTGAGTTTCACTGGTAATCTGACGATTTATTTTCTAATTTTAGAATGTTTTTGTGAATTTGATATTTTTTGTTCTTAACGTAATTACTATATACATCTTGCTTCATTAAGTCTATTACTTTACTATTCTTGTCGTGGAATAATGTAAGAATATTCGTAGTGCCTTTTGTCGTATATTCGTATTCAAGTGCCTTTTGTCTCATATAAATTTGTATAAAAAGTTGTTGGTCTAATTTCTATTTCAGCGGTAATATTTGCTATATTAAAATATTGACTTACAAGTGTTCTTGCACGATTCAAACTGAGAAAATTACTTTTTTCGTATAAATAATATATAACATAATCCAAGCAATTGTTTTAAAATGTTTAATTCGATGCATTTAAATATATTTCAAATTAACAATTTTCAAAACAATTGCATACTTAAATACATTATTTGCTAATTATTGAATCCTTTTATTGATATATTAGTGTAAAACTGACGTAGGAATGAAGAAATATTTAAATTAAAGTTGGTGACGTTTCATTACCATTAGCTTAGCTTTGAAAAAAAAAGTCAAAACGCTCAAAATAACTGATGAGATAATTTTGGAATACTACGATGAGAATGATGAACTGTGTAATTCAGATTCAAAAAACATAATCATACATAATTCATAACTGTCAAAAACATTCAAATGAGGCGCGCATTCGGTATCATTGGCCGCGCGATCTTGTGAGCTAACGAAGCACTGCAACTGCACATATCAGTCCTGCCAACACCAATTCATGACAATGACCTGCGGTTATTTACGCCACTGCAGGAAGTTTGTGGGTGCGTTGCGGTTTCAGTAAGCGTTTCTCTTCCCTTTTGCCTATCCTCTCATTTCAGTTTAACAGCCTTTCTGTCTGACGATAAGAGAAACATATCCAGAGATATGAAATGAAAATAAATTAAACAACCGTGCTACGAAATGGCTCAGACTTCCTTGTATTCTGTGGTGTAACTAGGTTGAACAGCCAGGGTACGCTCTGGGCGCCACTTTCGGGGAGGATGGAGAGCTCAATTTTATCCCTTGAACAAAGTCTAAAAAATGTCGAAGTTTCGTGTTATTTCTAGATGCAATTTTTGCAAAATATGCTACCATTTTCGTAAAGGAACTACATCCAAAACGTAACACATTTTGACAAGTTAAATAATTCAGAAATGCCCCTCTACAAAAGAGTGCGGTAATTTTCCTCGACCATACTTTCGTGAATGGATTCGGATTTGACGTTAACTATGAAATGTGGTGATAAAATACTGTCTTCTGGATTACACCTGTCACTACAGATAGGATGGCCATACGTACTGAAAAGGCGGGATACAGTGAAACTTGTATCAGTCACCAATGATTGCGGCAAAAATTGGTCGTCAAAAGAGGTGGCTGATTCATCAAGGTTATGAGATTACTGAAGCGGAAATCAAATCTGAGATAATTGATATGAAATGAGCATTGTTCTCTTTAACATGTTCAATTATCACAAATGACAAAATACATTTTAAACAAGGTATTTTGCATCATTTGTCTCCTCTTGGCTAATGACGAAGAACATCATTGGTGCTGCAAACAACAGTACACACTTTCTCGAGATATTGTTCATGGTTATGTAATATTTTAATATGACAATTTCTGTCTTACACTCCAACTACCATTTGAAAAATTCTTAAAGAGACAAAGCGAGAAAAACTATCACACTAACAGATATTTTTTTGTCAATTTAGATTTACTTCCTTTTTTATTACTAGGGCCCGAAAGTAAGAAGTTTTCTGCCGAAAATTCGCCGTTTTTTCCTGCATCATCACATTACTTTCTCTTCTTAAGAAGTACCTACTTAAGAGAAAGTAAATATAGAAATGATAACAAAATAATATAATGTAACGTAAGATTAAAGTATCGTACATGAAATGAGGATCTTGGATGTATTTTACAAGAAAAAGAGATGATTTATTTTATTTTAGAAAAAATATTTAATAAAAATATCAATCCCCACAAATCGTAGAATTACACAGGTCAACAACTTTTTTAGTCGAAAAAATCAATGCAATTTTGGAATAGAGGGAAGTGTGTTGTTTTCAAATATGGTATCAGCTTTCGCTCATCACATACAGATTTTTGGTAATGGTAATTTTACTCTCAAGGGAGACGGTTCCTGGGAATTCTCGGTGGTCTCCTCTGGGGCGATGCGTAACATGAACCATATTCCTGGCCTTCCCACAAATAAGATAATCCAGTGTCCAGAGTTGCTGCTAGTGTGCCCAACGGAGATGTGTGTCCACAGCTGAATACACAAGAGTTTCTATTATACTGGTTCATCTGTCTAATTGGTTGCTAAACGTGCTACTATCAACATTGCATTGCCACCATTGGTAAAATAAATTCTAATGGTTTCTGAACTTAAGCGAAACCTTTGCAAAATATTTCTTGTCAAACAAAAAGGTGTCTTTATGGGACCGCGGATTAGGGAGTAACTGAAGATACCATTATTTTTTATTCATTTATTTATGGCAACAGCAAAGATTTTGAAGAACGACTCAGTGATGTCAAAAAGTTGGCATGGCTTTCCCACATTTTGGGGGAAATAAAATGTGTTCTGTTTACAAAGAAGGCGTACAGGAATTACTACACGCATATAAAGGCATGTGATGCCTCATGTCACTGAAAACTTAAACTTATGGAGGAGAAGTATCAAGGTTTTTGGAATCAATTCATGATTATAGACTATTGTTGGATGCTTTGCTGTAATGACCAGAAGATTCACAAATGGAAATCAACAGCTGTGTATTTTTAGTTTACAAATCTATTTTAATTAACAACAATAATAAGCAAATCCCACCCACGTGATTCTTGTAAGCCTCACTTAATTAGTGTATTTTACCATTACCTTGTCTCTTGATATTTGAATCAGTGTTTTTTGTGAAAAATGACTTACTTACGGGCGGGAATATATTTTCAGCAAACGCTGATGTCTATTACTGCAACACTCGACGAATCATATTCATCAGGTGACAGTATCAACAGCTCACTACAAAAAATTCATACATATACAATATTTTACAACACCTTGCCAGATGAGATTAAAGGATTAAATTCGATACAAAAGTTTAAGTCCCAAGTAAAATCTTTTCTGCTGCACAACTGTTTCTATACAATTAGAGACTATATCGAGCATACAAAAGGAAAGAAATATTAATTTTAACAATGACATTTAGTGTATGATTTACCATTTGGATTGTATAATTCTAAAGAACCTGTAACAAGTATTGTACTTCAGCTTCTGGGTGACCGCTTCTAAACAAAAGTGTCCGCTACCAATTTTTAATTGTGGTAGAAAATTAGTACATAATTAGTAGATAATGTTAGGCTAGTTTATTTTGAATTTCGAACATGTGGGGGTTACAGCTTGACGGAGGTGGTTTGAGGAGCCGTCGTGCCGCTCCCCCGGGTTTTCGACATGATTCCTTTTGAGGACGCCCTCTTTTTAGGGGCCGTTCTCTCGTTTCACACGTGTGTCAGGGTCCCGGGTTCCAGCAAATGGGGAGTGCGGGATTTATGGCCTATTGACAGCGTTCTGGAAATAAGGATCGCGCGGTAGGAGTCGGCTTACGCGTGACGAATTAGGATGGGGGGACGGAAGGTGCATGTCGCGTTTGCGCTATGTGCACATGAAAATGCGATGCATTTCATTATATTAGGTTTTTGATCTGAATACGATACTGCTATGAATTTTTGCCTTTCACATACTATTATTGTAATAAAACACATTTTCGGAAATACTCGTTTTTTCTATTTTCTGGGGCTACAAATACAAACTTTAGTTAAATTTACTTTTAAAAATATTTAAACTTTAGTTAATTTTATTTAGTTTATAAATTTAAAAATACTGAAACTTTAGTTTAGATACAAACAATAGATCTCATGTGTAAAACTGAATAGACTGAATAGTAAAAATGAGTCTAAGGCGAATATTTATTTATTTATTTATTTATTTATTTATTTATTTATTTATTTATTTATTTATTTATTTATTATTCTTGATTCTTTCACAAGGAACAGGTAATCAATCGAAAATATGTTTACTTCCTATGGAATGAAGTGAAGATACAAAATATTATAATTATTATTGCTTTTATTATAGCCCATTGTTTTAGTGACCTATCATTGAATGCAAAATGTATGAACGTCCAGTTAGGAAAGAAATAGACGAAACTTCATCAATCGCAGTATCGAACTAGAAAATATCTGGTGACTATCTGGCAGCTCTCTGATGACCATTTCAATGAGTACCTTTACGTAGCCTTTACGTGGCGGCTTTTCAGGGTAGGCAAGGAGTACCAGACCTCTTCTGTAATATACGTACCAACCTTTCTCAGCAGACTTTCTTAGCCATCTATACTCAGTTTTTTTTCGCAGGGTTATTCTTTAAATAAGTCTTCTGAAGGATGCGAGAGACATGTTCGTCTCCTGCTCCCGTGAAGATTGGGCGGAAGTTAACGGTGAGTGTGAAGCCATTTCTGTTTCGGCCTCCATATGCCCATTGAGCCGTGCTCCACACTCACAATGGAAGTTACAATCTCCGACCCAAGAAACGCGAAGTGACAAGGTGTGCGAAGGTGACAGCAATTCTGACCAACGAAGCAGCTTCCAACTCTTAACACTAGCTTCGCGCTAAATGCTCGTGTATTAACAGTGATTTTTAAAAAGAATGTTCTTATTGAAGTGGGAAGAGAAGTGAAGAATTTGAAGAACGTGTAGTGTGGATGCGAGATTTTTTTCCAGTGGGAATGGTAAAACCCTGGTCTTAGAGAAAAAGTGTACTCAAGTTAATTTCCTTTTTGAGATACCGTTGTCAAATAGAACATATTGGAAAGATGTGGAATTTTAATAGTATCTAAAATTACCTCTTCCAAAAATGTCGTTGGTACATAAGATAAAATAAAACTTTGATAATTTCAATGACCTTTGTACACAAAACAAATAGCTGAATAGCAATATAATGGGAAATTTATTTTGATGCTCTCCCCACAACTATATTAACCAGTATTGCTGAAAGTGTTATAGGAATGACAGTTTCCCCCAAATGAAAGAAGAAAATTCAAAATTTTATAATTTTCATATGGATAAAAAGATAACGTAATTGGATAAAATATATCTTCTACTTAAATACGAGTAAAAGGGTTTTTTAAAATCACTTCTTTATGTCTTGATTTACAGGGTTTTTCTTCTGGAAAGTCCTCACGACGCCCAGAACTCTTAGCAGCACTATCCAAGCCACTTTGATTAATACCGCTTATGTATACTTCAAAGCGTGTACATGAATTATGAAATAAAACCTATTAACGGATGTAAATATTCGTGAGTGGTCGGAATGTGGGCAAACAATCGTCTCCATCGCATACCCAGTGATAGCACTTGTTAGCACTTGGTAGCAGTGATACTCGTGTTCGCACTTCCTGTTTGCAAACAAATAATAAAAATAGTTGGCTCGGAAAATTTGTCGAAGTTTGTTAAAGAATGTCCAGAAAATTTTACCGCAACATGAAGACTACTTCTTTATTTCATACGCCAATGAAATGGTGATACAAACGTTTGAGTTAATCGTTCTTTTATATGTACTGAGAAACCCCGCTTCATTTTAGAAATGTCTATCCTTCAAAAAAAAAATTAAATCAGTAATTTACCCTTTACCCTTTTTAATGGGCAATCGTTACATTTGTACGAGTTTACTTATGATTACTTTACATTATATAGATACTGAGGTACCGATTACAAATATTCCTCGTACAGTTGAAGATAGAACATTCCTTCCTAGATTAATGTATTTAATCGTCGTCGAAACGTTTAAATCCAGATGTTTCGCCCACGTCAGACGTTGTTTCCTCTTCCTGAAGAGTGGTGTACTGCATCCTGTTTGATGACTTCTCGCTACCCTATTGGACAAAAAAATAAATGCTTAACACGAATACTCTTCATCAAAACTAGTGAGTCCCAAAGTTTCAAAGGAAGTTTTAACAAATTCTGAGGGAACAACTCGTCCAGTCCTCAGGTAGTTAGATAAAACAAGAAAGTGAAAATACAAGCATTAACAGAACTACCTTCATTGTTAAATATAAACGATTATCTATAACAAAAAATAGTATAGTATACTGATCTAAAAATATAAAGTCAGTTCATATAAAAGTACTAGTGAAAAAGATAATAGATAAAATATTTTTAGGCGTTTTAAGAATGTTGTTGGAAAACAATCAGAGCACAGAGGCCGTCTCTATGAATCACACTAGACAGAGAAGGCATGATTCAGGAATTTCTCTGAAGATGAAATGAAAAAAAAGGTGTGTTGGCGCATGGAAGTATTGCAACAGTCCTCCATGTTTGCATAGCATTAGTTCTGGTGTATATCAATAGTTGACAAAATCGCTTCCCTAGTTTTAGAAGTGTGAAGTGACTCAATGATTTTGATTATGATTTAATTTTGAGTTATTTCGTCAAACAACAGTAAAAACTATGTGATGTATGAGGCAAAGTATCATCTTTATGTCGCTGTTTATATAATAATAATTTTTACTTTCTTGCCTTACGAATTCTTCCTAAGAAGAGAAAGTTATGTAATCGTGCGCCAGAAAACGCCGAAATTTCTCCAGAAAAAACACATTGTTGGGATCTGATAGCGAAAAAATTGATAAATCCAGTTGCTAAATTTAGAGAAAAAATCCTCTAACTCGATATACCAGAACACATGTTTTGTTGGTTCTTTTTTTAATTTATTTCTTCTCGTTCGACATTTCTGTCTCTCGAGGAGTTTGAAGACAGTACATTTTATATTATAACGTTTTTGGAATGGCCATCCATAGCAAAGCATTCATTCATTCCTACTCGTGAACATGGTCTAAGGTTCGAAGATTTGTTCAGGCTTGAAGGTTTGGTTAGGGGTGTAAAGTGTAAGTCAAGGAATTGCTAGGGAAAGTGTAAAATAAAATAGGAGTTACGGTGGTCTTAGCCTATCATTAGGGAACCTAGAATTAACACGGGACCATGAAGCATCGCGGCCCAGATTAATATTGTTGAACAGGGTGAAGAGTTAAGATTTTTGTAGAAATTGCCATCTATTTTGCTTATGTGTTCGTATACGTATTGGCCATATATTTAACTCGCGATGAATTTGTTTGTTCTTGATACCGAAAAATCTACTGACGGCCAAACGCCCGCCTGTCTGTCCGCCTATGGTCAACACAATCGCCTAAACCGATGTTTTTTCAATATTGATATTCCCCAATCGATTTTAAAGGAACTCGTGGCTTTGGGAATTTCAAACGGATATTTGATTTTTGAGGGTACTTCACATGAAACCTAAAAACATTTTCAAATCTTTTTCAAAAACGGTACCAATTTTTTTGTTAAATTTTGTTGAATAGTGCGAAGGACGTCAAAAGAATGGTGAAGTTCTTATTTTCATCGACAGCCCCGTTGTTTCGAAAATTGAAAAAAAAAGGTTTTAAAATTACAAAACTGAAGATAGCGAATTTTGCTTAAAAACAAGTCCGTTGTAAAAATTCAGCTCTTTAAAAAACGTAATATACAATTTTTTGAAAAATTAGCTAATTTCGCTCAATTAGTGTCTGAAAGTTACGCTTTTTTTAAAACATTTTCTGAAAACCTGCACGAAATATTTTCATTAAAGTTTCTGCTCATATGTAACAGTGTTTGATTAAATTAATTAATTAATTAATTAATTAACTAGTTGTGCTATAGAATGGCACCGACTTTCTCGCTCTACTTAGTTTTCCAATTTCTCTAGCATTTGAAGCCAGGAGGTCGCTGGTTCGAATCCCACACGCGGATTTTAAATTGATGAAAGTGTTGTTGTAGAAAACTATTGAGGATTCGAGAAACTTTATTGAAAATCATTTGAAACATTTCTACTCACAAATGTAGTAAATAAATATACAAATAAACTGGAGTGTCTGTATGTGCTTTTGTAATTTTTAAATATTTTTGCACCTTTTTTTTGCGATTTGCAAAAAGTATGTCACGTCAAATCAATAGTTGAGTTTCTGTGCATCTGTATGAACTGATTTAAGCAAACTAATAAATCTATCGACATATTTAAATACATTATGAACACTAGTTCATAATGTATTGTGTACCACGTGACGAACAGATTTCCCTAACGTTTCCGAAATTATTATTACTTTCTCGCTTTACGAATTCTTTGTAAAAAGAGAAAGTTGTATAATTGTGCGCCAGGAAACGCCGAAATTTCACCAGAAAAACTTTATTGCTGAGTTTTGGTAACGAAAAAGTGGATAAATCCTGATGCTAAATTTAGAAGAAAAAACCTCTATTATAACACGTGGTGAAGCCAGAATAAATGTTTTATTGGTTCTTAAAATCGAAACATCGATTGGCGGCAAAACGTCCGTCTGCCCATTTGGCCGGATATTCGTCTGTGGTCAACGCTAGCGCCTAAACTGTTCAACTTATTTTCTTCAAAATTGATATTCCCGGATTGAACTGAAAGGACTGGGTCTATGGGAGTTTCTAACAGCCAACACATGGATAATTAACTCTGAGAATCTGGGTTCAAGTCTCGAAACGGAAAAATTATTTGCTGCTTGAAAACACTTTTGCTTGTTTATGTAGTAATATAATGTTGCGGAGCATTTAGAGACAGTGCGAGAAAGAATGTGCTTTGTCAGCACCACTTGTTTCTTTTTGATGATCAATGTAGTATCTAACAAAAAGTTATGCAGCAGAAAATATTTCACTTGAAACTTCAATTTAACAATGAGAGGGGCATCGCATGCCATTTGCAATACGCAATTTGGAATCCGCAAACGTCAAGGTATTGCATCAGCAAGCGTCATCAAGTCAACTAACTGTCGTTTTCTCTCTGCAGATATGCTAAGAAGAATGACTTTGGTCAACATGTCCAGTGGGAACATTTCACATTTACTCAGAATTCATATTATTGATAATTAGAGGGATATTCGAAGGTTATCCGTATAATTGAAAATATTGGTCGATCGTTTCAGTTACTGTTTAATTGGTTTGTTAAAAGCATCAATTACTAATTTAACCTTCGGCGAGTATTTAACTTGCGCGATTTAGTGTTACATATGCGATCGCGGACGGTATTTTTGCCGCCGACAAACATCCTTCCCTTTTCTCAATATTTCTCTTGATCGTCAATCATGGATAATTTATTAAATAACATCAACTGAGCATTGTGATAGATTAAAAATTATTGAAACATTTTAACTACTCTGCAGAAAAGAAATTTCTGAAGAGATAGTCTACACATATAGTCTTCTACTTTGGCTTCACAAAACACTGGTTACAAATATATACAGTATAATGACATAAAAAATCTAAATTAAAATCAAAAGAAGTAGGACGGTAAAAATCTAATAAGTAAGATTGAAATGGAAGAAGAGGAGAGAGAATGTGTAGGTAGCTAAATGTGTTGTAATAACGCGAGAATACAAAATACTAGAAATATTGATTACTAAAATTCACTAAAATCTTCTACAAATTATACATATTAATTACTAATTAATTTAATTTACACAATAATTAGAGTAAGAGCATTATTATGATGTTTGTGTAAAAAAACATATGACAAATACATTTACATATCACACCTGCGAAAAACAACAACTGGAACACACGAGATCGCGAGGCGATGTTTATGCCGCGTAGAGCAAAGACTGGCGACGTTGGTCAACGTAGCGCAAATTTGGCGCAAATGTAAGAGAATCTTGGAGAAGACGTTACCCCTATCTTCTGTCTTAATAGATAACTAGAGAATACCTGGCTTCCCGTTACGCTAAATTTAAACATCAAGGGGTAGCGCCGTTTTATTTTCAAAGACGCGCGCGATTGCTCGAAGGTTAAAAAAGAAAAAAAACACATTTGCTCAAGATGCGAATAAATAAAGAACATAAATTACTTATTTGCTGGTGGGAAAATATAACTTGTGGTACTGAACGGAATCAGTGAAAGCGGTTAATTTACTATAGAAGTAGTGGTGCGAATGATTGGCACAGGCTTTCTCGTACTAGTTAGTTTTCTAATTTCTTTTGTCCAGGCTGCCTTTTCGCTTTTACCTCATCCTCTTCCCAGCTGCAACCAATCGCCATTCAAAGATTTTTTCACATTTTTTTTAATTTTCGCACCTCTGATGGTAGACCCGAAATATAACTTTAAAAATATAGAACAGTGTAATTATTTTTTATGTGGCAATTTCGTTCAAAGATTAAGAACCTTTTTAAGAAAATACCGCTTAAATACTCAAATCTAATAAATAAACAATTTGCTGATAATATAAACATTAACGTCGCGAGAGAGGTTTCAAAAAATTACATTAGTGTAACTTTTGAAAAACAAAAGAATATATTAATGTGGCATTTTTGTCATGTTTTTTAGTCCTATTAGCATTATCTTTTCAAAAGATTTAAAGAAAAAATGTGGAGCCGTTTTCAAGAAAATGGCTTTTGAATGTATATGAAAATTCGAATTTCGCACTCATTTTCACAGAAAACTGTGGAGTCTTCGAGAAACTTTATAAAACTCCATTTGAAACACATGTATTCATAAAAGCAACTATATACACAAATTGTCAGTAAAATAAATATTAACGACGTGAGAGACGTAAAACATTTACATTTGTTTAAATTTTTGAAAAAAGAATACATCGAAACGAAGTTTATGCCACTTTACATAGTAAATTTAGCACTATTACTAACAAAAGTTTAAAGAAAAACTTTGTAGTCCTTTTTGAGAAATTCTCATATTTTTAATATTGCCATATTTTACGCCAATTACACTACAACTACTGCACTTTTCAAACAATGTGCATGATTTAATGAAGAAACTCATTGTGGATAAAAAATTAATTTGCAGAAATAATTTCTATCTTCAATGTTCAATTTGTAGGAAGACGCCGAAAAAATTAGATCTTTGCAATATCCGAAATTTCAAAATTAATTGTGAAAAATTAGACCTATAAAATAGCTTTATGCTAAGTGTATTACACTCTATACCTACAGGAATTTAAGGAAAACATTTGTATTTTCGAGAAAATTTAGAAAATGTTCCAAGGGCTTCATTTGGGCTTTCAGCCCCAAAATCTAAAGATGTTTTAATAATTCACACCAGATAGACCGGGATATATTCATTTTGAAAAAAATCGTAAGAATATTTTAAGCTTAAGTGTTGTTCACAGACGAACGGACGCTTTGGAAACAAAGGGGGGAACCTTTCTCGGTATCAGGGTCCCCCTAATCGTGTATTTCTGTTGAAATCTTGGAATCGATTACTCGCAGCATAATATAACTTTCCCTATACTACGTATATTACTCCGTTTATGCGTACGTATATGAGAAAGTAAATGTAAAACAGATCATAGATGGGTTCTCACAGACATCTGAGTTTGAGGCCATTACTTACTTTTTCCTTGTAGAGGGGGTTGTCGAATGACTGGCTGGTAGCTAAGGGACTGGCGATCACCTCGACCGCTTCGCTGTCCGCTTCCACGTTTTCAAAGCGAGCGAACACGTAGGCGCCTTCGTCGTTCGCGCTGCACCAACTGTGGACAGACCCCACACCACGAAAGCGGTCTAGCGCGCCCCAACCAGGGGCGGATGCGTAGAGTTCATTTTTGTGGTAACAGGAGATTGAGAAGTTGAGTGATGCAACACTGGCTGGGTGCAGCTCAAAATCAGCATTGACGTTGACGACAAAGCGAATGGCTGGGATTTGACACAGACATTGCAATTCCGCATGCAAATACTCCTTAACTGAATTTGGTTTACTTGGTTATCTTTATCGTTAATGTCAACTCTGCAATATTTAGCTTTGTAGGATATAAAAAAGAGATTTCACTTAAGTGTTGCAGAAATATGTTCAAGTTCTTTCCGGTTAGCAGACATACGCGTCTACTTAGCGATAGTAATGATAGTTTTAAAAAAAGGACCTTTTTTTCCAATTGTAGATACTTCGAAACTTGGAATGGAAATTACGTTCCCTTACGAGAAAAAATTGAAGAATCAAACTGGATGATATTTTCTTCAAAAAGCATGACAAATCCTGTAGATGCGTTTAAAGTAGCTTTTAGCGTAAAGAAACAGAAAGAAATTGTTAAAATGACGCATACACCATAAAAACATTTTTGGCTCTCACCGATCATTCTCTCTAGATAGAATATCTCATCAGCCAAATACAGTGATCGAATTTTCGCAATACGTTGCTGCAATAACTGTTTGCAATGTTTTAAGAAAGCGAAAATCTTAACCAATTTCCTAACTAATTAATTACATACTAGATTAATTTCCTTGGCTATTTGAATTTACCAATATCAGATCTGAGGAGAGAGTAATGATTATTTATGTCGTCTTTCCAACATGAAAGTTTTTTGTATGTATGACTTAAACCCGAGAATTTTGTATCTGCGCGGTAATGCAACAACGACTATTTACCTCCTCAGTAACCCCGACAAGGTGGCCGTTTATTGTCTTTAGGGGTTACATGAGCCATTGCTCTTCAGCTTGTGCGACAATGCGGCTTGTGCGTACTTAAATTAAGGTCGTCTTCTCACGTAGCGACACGGCAGCGCTACCGAGAAGGGCCGGGAATCTTTACGCACAGCCATTGCCCAGCGAAAAATGAGCGTTGGAAAGACACGTTGTCATCGCTGTGGGCGCCAGGGTGGCCGAAAGGTAGTCAGCATGTTAACAGCTAAGTTCAGTGGCCCTCCCGAGTGGCCTTATGTGAAGGCCTCCATTTAGACCTGTAGTCTGCTGACGGCAGCGCGGAATCGCGTCTACGCTGCTGATGGAGGTAGTGCGTCTCTATGCGCCAAAGCGGTGCAACTGCACAGCTCGGGTCAATTCCTGAATTTAAACCAATGACTTGCCGGGAACAGAGTCCTAAGGATGCGCTGCTGAGTAACTCCATGTGAAAAGCCTCTTCACTGAAGATACTATTTCAGAACTATAAGCGAGTCGTGCACTTACATGAGCGACCGCCAGCCGGAGAAAACGAGGAAGATGGCGGCGAAGGCGGCGAGGGCCACGGCCAGGGTGCCGAGCACAGGCGCCGCAACGCGCACCCAGCGGTGCTCGCTCACGGGAGGGCCTGCCGCCGTCAGAGACGCCGCCAACACCCCCAGCGCCTCCTCTGCGATCACACGAAGTATTTGAGCGTTTGCGCAAGGCGGAACACTAGGCACCGTACAGACAGATACACTAAATGGAGGAGCGAGAACTCAAGCTGCCTGCGTCACTTACCTGAACTTTTGAGATGACTCTTCATCTCTAAGATGACTACCGTAAGAATTAATGTACATAATGTCGAAAAGCTTGTGAGACTATTAAAATGCATTATCTGATAGAGAAATTAAAAGTGAAGCCATGCACATCGAAGGAAAACACCCCGCAACCACAGAATATGAAAGAGCCCGCGCTGTTCATTTTTTACACGCATTGGATTAAACTCACAACAGAACAACTTTCAATGAAAAAATAATCCAAGAAAATAACATTTATTTAATTAAGAGTTACTAAATTCACTTTTATTCTGCAAATTCTGTCACAATCCAGAGTACCTAAGGCTTTTCGGCCCCAAGATGAAGAAGGGGTAATGAAGATGTTATTTTAATGAAAATGGAACGAGGGAGGATGGTAGGTATTGTAGGCAACCAAAACGGAAGAATCCAGAGAAACCTGCCGCGAACGAGCGTTGTCTACCTTAAATTCTTTGTGAATCGGCGGTTCTTGACTCCGGTTGCTGCAATGGAAGGCAAGCGATTTGACCACTACTCAGCGAGTCATCCATCATCAGGATATCTTAAACCCCTTACAGTAGTACCCCCAGCAGTACACCTCCGCTTAGCTTGTTTTTTATGGGCGAGGGGCGAGCTAAAGGCCCTCAGGTAGGCTCCGGTGTTCTTATCCTCAACTCCGTAGACGTACAAGAACTTCGTTGGGCAGGTATTCGGATACGCCGAAACGCGATGAAACATTACACACATCTTGGGTGCGGCCGATACGTCAGCAATTCTGGCGGGCCATAAAGCGCCACTCACATGCACCTCACGTCCTTCCTCATTACCTATGTGAATCGGGCATTACGACACCGAGATTCCAATCCCGCACGCGGCCAATAATCAGGAGAGATAGAACGCGGGGTAGCGGCGAGACTGACCTGCAAGGAAAGAGGCGCGCAGGCCGTAGGCGGCCTCCACGCTGGCGCCGCGGTAGGGGTCGCCCTCAACCAGCACTAGCTGTACGCGGCCGTCGGGCAGCGCGTGGGCGTAGGCTTGCACGCCCTGCGCCGCCGCACCGCTCGCCTGCAGCCCGCTCTCCGCCGCCTTCTGCAGCTCCACCAGCGAGAAGCGCCGGCGCTCCACGCGCAGCTCCAGGAACGCCCCTGCGCATGCGCCGGCGCACATCGCCAAATGCACCGAGGAGGGTACAATATATAAATGTATAATTTACCCTTCTTGATAAGTACTCTCCCTTCACCCCCTCCCACTCCTCTTCTCTGAAACCGGCGTGTAAGAACAAATTAGGGGTGCACCAATAGCACAAACTTTCTTGTTACAATCTTACAATCTATAAATAAAGGCTGTTCAGGGAGGAACCGTCGAAACTTCGAAAATAAGCTCTTAAGACAATTTTAAGCACATATTCTCCAATAAAGGCCTTGGATATTCCGCAATAACCATTCAAAAGTTGTTTTGGAAAAATACTTTCAAATACGTGCAAAAATTTGCATTTCAGAAACTTATAAAAACTATAAATAACATGAAAATTATTTATTATTTACAAAATAAATTAATATACTGATCACAAACAAAATATTGACACAGAAATAAAAAAAAGCTCCCAATTGTCACTAATCGAGTGCTTTTTTTTATTTTTTTAAATTTATTTACGCTTCCTCCCTGGGCACTTGTATATTCTATCTTCCTTGGTAGGGACCTTCCGCTTACCACCTTGCATCCGGGACTGGCGAGTAAGAATAAATTAGTGGTGAACGAATAGCACATACTTTCTCGTATTATTAGTGAGGGATACGTGATATTATTACATTGCATCTTCTATCCGATTCAGACATTACTTGAAAATAGAAACATATAATACAAAATTACGCGAAAAGAACTAATATTGTGAAAAATGACATATCAAATGGTTTAGAGATTGGATGTATGTAGGTACATTGGATCTAATATTAACATTTATATGTTTAGTAAGCAATTACGGTAATCACTGTACCAACCGGCTGTGTCTGCATAACAAACTTCTCGATGCTTTAAAAAGAAAGTTGAATATTTGCAATTTTCGAAACTTCAGACGTTTGATTTAAAATCGGATGAGTTCGAGAAAAATAAAGAATACCGATAGACGGATTTTTTTTTAAAAGCAACAACATATTTTCGATATCAGGGACCCCAAAACATGTCCAAATATCGAATTTTTTGCAGCTTTACGTAATTTTCTCTATACTTTGTACACGAGAAAGTAAAAATGCAAGAATATCAAAATTAATTAAAAATTAAAATAAAGCTCGTTACCACAGTAGTGCTCACGTATCCTAGGATCATTTAAAAAAAACGCGTTCTCTTTTAAAAGGAAGGAAGTTCCAGCAATTGTGGCCAAACTAACACGAGGATTGGGATGGTGTGCAGAAAAGATTAAAGTTCTCGCAACATTTCTGAGTTTATAACATGATATTTTTAATTTCAAAATAACAATTAATGATAAAATTAACCAAAAATATGTTTTGTGATTAAAGGGTATAGCAAAATAAGAAAGGTGAAATTGGCCCACGATCAAAGTAGAAAAGGATGCTATTATCTTATTTTTCTCCCAAAATAACGTAGAAAAATATGGATATTAAATTCCACAGGTAGCGATATGAGCCAGAACGAGTGAAGAATATAGATTTTGCAGAAAATCGGCTGAACGGTTTATGCGCTGGCGTGGTGCACAGACAGTCTGACGAACAGACCGACGTTTTGCTGGCAATCGATTTTTTGGTATGAAGAACGAACAAAACAAATTCTGGCTACACCACGTTTTACTGGAATTTTTTCTATATTTAGGAACTGGATTTATCCACTTTTTCGTAACAAGGGCCTGGCAATAAGAGTTTCTGTGTCGAAAATTCCCCATTTCCCAAGGCACGATTATAATATTGTCTCTTCTTACGTTAATAAGTGCGAGAGAGTAAAAACCTAACGTGGTCAAATGTGTTCATTCAGAAAGCATGCAGACTGAATTGCATGCGTTCTATAAGACCATTCCGCACGAAAACTGTACCGTATAAAAACCCCTATGGACTTCAGCGATGAGAAGAAGTGAAATGCTGTATGATGAATATTCACCAGGATGTAAAAACGATAATAATTAACATTGATGGCGGGAGACGTCTGGAAATTCCTAAAGGACTACCAACATTAAGCAAGATTTAAAAAAAGATTTTGAAAGTTTGCAAAATGTAAAGCGGAATAAGATTGATGAAATTGGTCCACAACCGAACTATAAGAGAATTATATCATTTTAATCTTCTCCTATAATGACCTAGAAAAATAATTATCACATAGTATGTGCTGTTGTAGCATCACTAGATTCATAAAGAAAGCGTACAGTTTGTTACCATCCCCTCGGCGCTAGAATCGTTCAGCAGAAATCTTCCATCCTTTTCAATTTTGTTGTTCGATTAGGAGTGATTCGTGAGATTTTGGGTATTGGAGTGGCAGATTCGAATTCTTGGCTTTTCTGGGTCTTTATTTTACTAACACGCCCAAAACAAACGCGTTTCTGCTGACAAGACTTCCTCCATTCGGAGTTTTTTTCGGCGCTCCCACTAGTCTTCGCGGCCACAACCATGATTGTAGGGACCACAATGACGGCCTTTCCCTTTTTAGTTTCATTAATATTTAACGCAAATGTACGCGAATGTACTTGGCCGCCCAGCTCATTTGTGTGCTGGCAGAACCCAGCGTTGCGCTTTGTGGCTACGCGTGTAGAAAACGTGCAGGTCGTATAAACACGACCTTTGGCTTCGAGTAAACTTTTAGTTTGGAATCTTAAAGTTTCAATACTTGTTATTCATGAGAATCCGCACGAATACTGTACCTTGTAAAAAAGTCCAATAGACCCATAGCCGCTGCTATCTACACAGAAATTCTTGTACATCTTACAAATACCCATTTTCCCCGACTGATGGGCAAACCCACATACACAGTTGCTTTGCAAGTACTACATGATTTAACTACGTTAATTGCCACAGAAGATGATAACCTGCCGAATATCTGTCAATAAGTTGCCTAAATATCAGGGAAAATGTATCGTTTATAGCAGTGTTATATGACGTTTCCCACTACATATTCATTAGAATAAAATGATCATTTTCGTTTCCTCACAATGTCCTTGAAGTATGTAACATTTATTCTGAGACAACCTGCATAATATGCTATGGATAGATAATCGTTTTGGGGAATTTTTAAAAACCAATCGACACAAAACGATGTAAGTGTCCTGGGGCTGGATACAGAATTACAACCCAGTCCCACATCCAACAGAATTAAGATGAAAAATAGTACGTCATTCTCTGATTACGACGTTCAAAACAGATTAATGAAACAAATTATAATCGTGCATCAGAAACGATATGCCTTTAAAACAAGTTACTGTGTCTTCGGGTAAATTGACATCATCTCATCACAAATTGTCATCATGTGAATTTTCTGGAAACGCGAGTTGTGTCGGTAAGTGCCGGATCCAAGGGGGGGCACGGGAGTCATACCTCTCCCCCCCCCCAAAGGCCTAGAGTTTTCGTTTATCTTCATTTGGCAAAATTAATTTCGATATTTAATTATGTTCGAATTATGTAATTATTGAAACAATAATATTGTATTGTATCATATCAATAGTACATAAATAATATGCAATGTAACAACAAACATGTTTATTACTTAACTAAAATATACGATGCCCCCTCAAAACATGAGCGACTGGATCCGCCCCTAGTTGTGGGACAGATAAGGAAACGAGGAGGGTCATAATGGGAACAAGTAGGTGTTAGGAGGGGGCACAAGTGGGGAAAAAGAGACAGATTGGTAAGATGTGACCGGAATTATATTTCTGAAGCAGGTTTCTATAAAATGAGATCTTTCTGAACTTTCTGATATTTTTTTTGAATTTTGGTTCTTTTGGGTGCACCCACTCCCTAGCATGGGAGGTCAGGAAAGTGTAGAAATCCGAAATCTACTTGTATATAGAACTAAATTCAAGGGAAAAAACAGAAATAATCTTTCACAATAAAATTAAAGCGTCTATTTGATATTCTGTGAAATTTAATATCAATCTTAACTAACTAACTTTTGGAAATATTTGAAGTAATACTATCGCACATGTCCTATTATGCTACATCGGACAGTTCAACAACAAATTATTGACAAGTTTTTGCACGGGTCAAGCTAGTTTTGAAAAAATTAATGCTGGCATTGAGCTTGGGGGGATTGATAGATTATTTCGTGCTTTTTGGCGCGTGAACTGCTATAGTCACGGGAGGTGGCTGTGTTCTTACCCCGGTTGATGAGATCCGGAGCCGACCTATACCTCGTCTTGTGGGCTTCTTTCCCCTTTGTTGGTATCTACCACCAGCGGGGCTCTGCCCTAGCTGGGACAAGCTCTAAGCTCCAGACTTGACTTCCGTCATGTGTGATAGGCACGTGAGTGCGTAAGTAAGAATGAGGATAGGACAAGGAAGAGAAAGCAAAGATCGTGCGCGGTCCATGGCCTGTTTCTTAGAGATCTGCTCCGCCTTTCGCCTGTTATCAGTCAGAGAAACCACGGAAAACGCCCGATCAGAGTAGCCAGTCGCTACAATTCTCCTCCCAGCTATCTAGCAAGTTTTGAAAATCCTTCCAACAAACAGTACTTCAACGCTAGTATCTCCTGACGAGGCACTGCAGTGACATGATCATTTGACGTCCTGCGCCACCTCTGCCGGTATAAAAAGATTCTGACTGAAAGGGAGTGCTTTGACAGCTACTGTTGAGTTATATCCATGTACTCAATTCGTCAATGCGTTCGTTTAGTCAGATCTTTTGCAAATGGTTTTTGTAGTGGTCGCCCGCGCCTCTTTGAATGAACCGGCACCGGGACGCAACTGTGAGGCGGCTGCGCCCCAGGAAAATGCGGCCACCGCTCACGAGAGGTCGCTGAGGTCGGGTTAAGCAGAGTCGTCACGCTTCGGTCGGCGAGACCGAGCGCGCCATCGGCCGTAAGCCGCGGAAGTCGGCGAGCCTTTAGCCCTGACCATGTATAAAACGGAGAAGTAACAGAGTTCCAGTCGTCCCATCATAGCGCTAGCTACGAGTGTGCTAGTTAGTGAGTGACTACGCTGCCAGCCAGCATAACGGACTTCTCTTCTGGTATTTGGATCGTGACCACAGCATTGTTGTTGAAGATCTTCTGCTTTGGTTAAATCTGCCAAGTCCCTGGTAAATCTGATTAGTTGGTGACTACGCATGTTAACGGATTTCTCTGTATGTTCAGCAATTGTAAATAAAAAAACTGTTTTATGAAATTAACTTGTTCTGGTCATAACAGTTGCAACGCCATCGCTCAAACAGACGTTCATTTACATCCCGCTGTGTCCAAGTAGGGAGGTCGTGGGGAGAGCGCGTACGCACCGCACACGGGGCAGCAGTGGCCGCGCGGCTGCACGGGCGCCTCGCAGGGCGGCGGCGGCGCGCGGGCGCAGCGGGGCCGCTGGAGGGCGCAGACGCGCTGTTCCACGGCGGCGGCGAGGGTGGCGGGGGCGGCGCACGCGCAGCCGGCCTGCTCGGTGCACTGGCCCCAACGCGTGCGCACCGCGCCCACCTCCTCCCCGGCGCCCGCCGGCGGCAGCACGAAGCGGCCGTCGTCCACCAGGCGCTGCCACGACAGCCCGTAGATGAACTGCCGCAACCGGAAGGAGTCCCTACGCACATCACGCGTCCTAGACGACCTCCGCCCTTCCGAGGCTGTCCATTAATTACCGAACGCAAGTTTGGAGTATTTTGAATATTCCTTCTTCCATCTGCAACGCGCGCTTGACTCCCCCTCTAAATTATAACATGACACGTGACAACGCCCCCATTTAAAAGGAGTGCAAATAAATTTGATAGCAGTAAAATAATTTGGATACGTGTTATGTGTTAAAATTTATTATAATTAAATTCAAAATTAGTTGGCGACGCTAACTGCACTTAAAAATTAGGGTGGGGACAATTTGTGAGTGAATGAAACTCCAGTTAAATTGTATTCTAAAATATAAGACAGGTTTACATATTTTTTTCGGAATTTGACAGATTCAATTCATATACCAATGATGAAAACACATTTCAATTTATTATAACATTATACATCGTAACCTTTTAATTGGCATTTTGTTTAAATAATTTTGGTAATATTTTATGCTGTATTATAACACTAAATAAAAGAAATTATTTCAGCAAATTTTCAAAAATTTTAAAAAATATCAGCATTACTTAATACTAAAATAACACCATCTAAATCTATGAAACAGCGTAATGCTGCCTAAGTCCCATCTCTCCCTTTTCAGCGTTGAGTAATTTATGGACGACCCCTTTTCTCTCACCTGATAGCTCCACCAGGCAGTATACAGGGTGCACAGCGTTTGAGCATTGGGAAGATATCTAGGTGTATCAAAATTTTGTATGATACTGGGGATTAACTATGAGTTGAGCAAATTATAATAGTCATTTAAATAATGTTTTTGAAAAATGATGTCCTAATAAGACAATATTGTTTGAAAATGGTTCTTGAAGCAATAGAAAAAGCCCGCGTGAAAGAAAATCCTGAGTGTGCAGGGAAAGAAATTTTAGAAATTATAGTATCATATGACAGTCGTCTACATAGCATAAAAGAATATATTCGTCTTTGTAAGGGTTAGGTATTGTGATCTCCCGTTTCGATTCAAGGTCAAAAGAGGACACATTCGCCGTTTATGCGACCGTCACCACGTTGAAACGCCCGCGCGAAAGTAGCACTCAAATTTGATTCTGTCATGCGGCGACTTTAGAAAGTTAGCGAAAACGACCGTAGAGTACGTTCCAATCGACTTCAATGGAGATCTTTTTTCAAAACGAGCTAAATTTACAATTACACCAAGATTTTATGCGAGATATCAACTTAGAATTTGTAACCACCATTGGACTAAAGATACCACTTTTTTGGGAAAATAGACCAGCATTTTGGTTTGCACAAGCCGTCGCACAATTTGCTTTAAGACGAATTTCTTCTGACAACATGAAATATTCCCACGTTTTATCCAACCTGGACCTTTGTTTCACCCAGGAAATCGAAGATAAAATAATCAATCCTCCAGCTACTAACAAAAATGAAAAACTACGTTCCGAGTTCATCAGACATTTATGTACGTCTCAGGAAAAACGCATACGGACGCTACTGCACGACGAAAATTAGAGATAGTAGCCCGACACAATTTCTTCGATATTTGCAATCGTTAACTGCACATCCATGACGAATTTTTTAAAATCCTTTTAGATAGAACTGCGATGCATCACTTCCGTCATACCTTAGAAGGCCATCACTTCACGATTTTCACCGAGAACAAACCTCTCACATTCGCATTTAGTCAGAAGGTCAGCCGGTACAATTGATCGTTTAATTTATCTTTCTTAATTTACAACTGACATATCGCTGGATCTCATAATATGAGCTGCTGATTTTCTATCTTGCACCATTCAAGAAACTCACAACGATTTCATCGACTATGTAAAGATTGTTTCTACACATGCTCAGGATTCCGAAACACAAGATTATGTTTCCGGAAACAAACATTTCTATTTAAAGCTCAAGAATTTGTCAGTTCGAAATTCTGCAGCCTCGCTTTAGTGTGTTACCACTTTGAATAGAGCCCGCTTTTACCTTACGCTATGCAAAGGTGCGTGTTCGAAGTCATACATTCGTTGTGCCATCTGGGCGCTAGGAGTTCCATAAAGCTTCTTACGTTTCATTTTGTGTGAGTTTCCATTCGCAAAGATTGTACTCGTACTCTTTGGTCTCACGCATGTATCGCATGCCAGAAATGTAATATATCTCGGCACGTGTGCCCTCGTTCCCGATTGCTTCCTTCAACAGACGTGCGAATATCGGCATTGTCGGTCCTTTACCCCCCTCACGTGGATACCGATTTATCCTATGATCGACAGGACATCGCTCTGGCCAAAAGCATCACCAGCGCGTGACATTTCAGGCACCAGCATTTTATCAAACAATGGATATCTCGTTTCGGCGTGACACGCATTATAACATCTGACCAAGCACGGCAATTCAAATCTGAGCTATTTAATACCTCTATAAATAGTTCGGAATTAAAATGAATAACACAATCTTCTTGTGAAGCTTATCACCCATCTTCTAAATGAATAATTGTAAGGTTTCATTGAACGTTGAAAATAGCGATACATTGCATTGGTAAGCAAAATTCCTCTTGGTCCCAAGACTAGCACTAATTTTAATAAGTGGGTGCGGTTTACAGTGTGCTTTCAAACCAGACCAAACATTTTTTTGAAAATTTTACTAGTTTTAGCACATTATTGCGTGCATTATTTGCGATTTTCAAAAATTACAAAAACAAGGTTTTCTTAAAAACGGCTCCATTTTTTTCTCTAAACTATTCGTAAAGGTAGTGCTAAATGAACTCTATCAGATGACATAAACGCTATACAGTTCTATTCCTTTGTTGTTGTTTTTATTACACAAAAGTATTTTTTTTTACTTGTCTCTCACGTTGTTAAAAATTACTGGCGATTTGTTCACATTCTTATATTTATGAGTGCATGTGCTTCAAATATTGTCATATACAGTTTCTCAAAAACAACAGTTTTCTGTGAAAACTAGCTGAAAATTGCGCATTTTCAGAAACGCTCAAACGCCGTTTTCTCAAAAACGGCTTCAAATTTTTTTCTTCGAACTTTTCAAACGAATAGTGCTAATTGCAGTTTAATATGACGTAAAGTTCATTTCGAGGTTGTTTTTTTTCTTTTTCAAAAATTAGACAGATAATTTTTTTAAGATCTCTCACACCTCTAATATGCATATTTCCAATATGCAATTGGTAAACACTATTGTATTTGTGTCTAATGTGCTGCAAATGCCTTTTAATGATTTTTTTCGAAAACTCAAAAATGTTCTGTGAAAAACAGTTTCAAATTTCGAGTTTACAGTAGCGCTTAAACGCCATTTTCTTGAAAACAGGTCCAAATTTGTCAATGGAAATTGCCATTTAGGACACGATTTTCCTGTTCTTTAATATGCTTAAAATAACATTTCCGTTCAACTGTTAAGAAAACGAAAAATTAAGAATTTTTTTAAAATATGTATTTTGGGCTGCGATGGATGGTAGCTGGCAAGGGTATATGGCAAGTCCGAAGTTAGCCGAGACTAAAAGAGACAACTAATACGGGAAAGTCTATGCCATTCTCTAGCACCACTAGTTATTTATTGCTTGTATTGATTTAAATAATATATCAATCTATTATTTATTAATTTTTATTACTTGAAATTTATTATTCGAACCTTTATTACTTTCCAAAGGAGTAGAGTTTGTATAAAGAAGTGGATGGACATATCAGGTAAAGTTCGCTGTCCATTAACCACTATCCGTACAAAAAAATACAGAACAAAAATGGATCCGATTTCGACAAAATGGCTTTTGAGTGTTCCTGAAAATGCGAAATTACGAGCTAAATTTCACAGAAAATGTTTGAGTTTTCGAAGAACTTTATAGTACATCATTTAAAGCACGAGTACTCATATATCCAACATTGTACACAAATCGCATGTAATGTAAATAGGAACGACGTGTGAGAAATACATAAGAATATACAGTTTTATAATTTTTGGAAAAACAAAAGAATACATTAAAACTGTGATTATGTCATTTTAAGCATGTCATCATGCATTTATCGCTATCCGTAGAAAATGTTAAAAGAAAACATTTGGAGCTGTTTTTGAGAAAAACTTGTTTTTAATATTTTATAATATTGCTTACATTTCACTCAACATTGCTCACAAACTGATAAAAGTTTCGAAAAAAGTAATTCTGGGGAAGAAATTTAATTTGAAGAAAAATACGCTATCTTCAATATTGAAGCTTTAGGAAGTCGCCGAAAAAATCAAACTTTTCTAATACCCGAAAATGCAGAATTTACAAACGTAGGTCTTATGCCTTCTTTATAAGTGTATTTCACCATATTCTTAAAAGAAATTAATAGAAAAAGTTGGAGTCATTTTTCAAGACAAGTAGTTTTAGGTCCCAGAAGTTGCATGTGAAATTCCCTCAAAATTTGAAATAATTATTTCCTAAATCGCAAGGCTCAAATAGGGACAGGTAGAACTTTGTTGAATATTGTTTTTGCAACACAAAATCTACATTTAAGTGTTATTGTTAACAGACGGACGTTTTGAAATTACTGATGCTATAACACATTTTTTCTCATGCTTAACATACTTTTTCTCATTATTTGTTACGGCTCCGCAATATTACATTCTACAAGAACCTGCAATAGTGTTTCCCGCCAGTAACATTTTTTTCCGCGTGGAGACTCGTCGTCAGGTTCATCGAGTTAACTCTCTGTGCGCTTCACCGCTACACCAGTCGCTCTGCCGTACTCACTTTCGCCGACGATAAAATTTAATTGTCTCTCTTTTTTATTTCCGACACGCTGTTTCGAAAATTCAAATATTTCAAAGAAAATGAGGCCTTCGATAATCTTTTAAGTGACCCTCCTTTTATCAGTGGAAACAATTTGAAGTAGTTTTTGAAGAAATGTACATTGCATTAATTTCAAGCAGAAATTACGCGTACAATACATGTTTGTTTGTTATTGTTTCTTTCAAAAATTGCACATAAGGTTTTTAAAGATGTTTTTTAAACCAGACATTTAAGGCATAAATCTCTATATTAAATTTTGTAGTTTTGAAATGTTAATATTTTTGCCGGAAAAGAGACTAGCACATTTTTTTACTTAAGAGGAGAAAATCTAAAGAAACATTTTGGAACAATTAAAAAAATTGTTAAAAATTGCCTTCATTTCACGGAACATTACATGAAAACTCCTCATATTATCAAAGAATAGTACATAATCGTATTTAAAGATATGTCTTTGAAAAACAGATTTTATTTCTGAAAAATATGTAGGAATTTTCGATAAAAAAAATTTGTTTCATTTGATGTATAATTTTTATGGTTCAAGAGCATATGCGTTTTATTTTTAAACAAATAAATGTTTTGTTGAAAGATGCAGTATCTTTGTATCAGTGTATGTAGGACAACGCGGAAAAGACCCTGCCTTTAGTCCCTCCTTCCCCGAAGGGAGTGTAATTTTGTCTCTTTGGGAACGGACATGCAGGTTGTGCGTATGCCCATGCAACAAAAGGAATGTCACATTTATATATATATAATATTTTGTGTGTGTGGAAAGATTATAGTAGTACAAATGAAATTAGAAAGAAACAAAACTATTGTAAATATCTTGTCGTCGGGTGACCGCTGCTCTATAGCCTACTGTGAAGTGTAGGCTTCGGGCAGGGAGGGGTCGACCCACGGAGGGTTGAGGATGACGAGCGCCACGGTCAGCGGCAGAGGCGGCAGGCGCAGCGCGAACGTGGTTTTGAACGGCAGCAGCACGAAGTCCCAGCGGCACGGCACGCGCAGCGCGTGGGGCACCGCCGCCCACACCGGCGCCAACGTCCTGTCGGCCGGCTCCCACGCCTCGGGGTCGAGCCAATTCTGGGCGCCGCTGCGCACGAAGTGGTTCTCTGCCGACCAACACAAAACAGCGTCAAGGAACGGCCCATGCATGTTGGACAGGGGCGAATCCAACCGATTATTCTGGAAGGGGCCATAATAGATTTTTGTTACATAACATTATAGCATTTGTTATAATATTGAATATTACTTACATACTGTAGATATGACACTATACACTATTATTTTTAAGTAATTACACAATGCTAATATAAATATTTAAATCAAGTTTGCGAAATAAAGGAAGGTACCAAGAAAATGCTAGACTTGGGGGGGGGGGTGTATTGCCTCTGGGTAGGCCTGATATTGAACAGGATTGGGCTAAATTTTCCCCAGTCCGAAAACCAAAACTTTGTATCTTAAAAAAACAATAAAAAACAATTTAAATGTTTTAATGATTTTTAAATTATTTCAATTATAATAACAAACCGTATAATTTAAGATGCATTAAGATGTATTGAACTATTCAATAAAAAACAACTTTAATCAAAACAGTGTCAAACTAATACCTTAACAACATTAGTTCAAAATAAAGTATTCTGACAATAAAATGCAAGCTTTTATTGCTTGTACACGTGTAGGTCAACATCGGCAATGATAGCACTGCCACTTTCACAAACCTTAACATATCGTGTTACAACAGCACATTCTTTCTCGCATTATTTCTAAATGCGCTACAATATTATACTACTTCAAGAACCTGCAAAAGTGTTTTCAAACAGCAAACGTTTTTTCCTCGTCGAGACTCGAGTACCGGTTCTCCAGGTTAATTCGTCACGAACCTTATCTCTACGCCATGGAAACGGTCTGTCGTCAAACTCGGGCCCTAGTTTACATATTATTACATATATATTCACAATTTACTTATACAAAAACTAAATTCCCTAAAACTCTAATTTTACCTAACTTACATTATGTTCAACATTTTAAAA